AATTATGTAGATAGATTATTGTCTAAAAATCATCTCTAAACTCTTTCCGAAAGTTTAGAGTTATTAGTATATATGTTGCTCCTCCCGCCCCTCCTTACAGTAAGTTTATGAACATTCTCCGGAAAATTGACGAAATGTCATAAATAATCTTATGCGCTTACCAAATGAAGCTGGTAATGTAACGAAGGAGAAATGGTCTTCTTTCTGTAGCCTAAAAACTTCTATAAATGTTCTCCACTCTCGAGAATTCCTCCAGGAAAAATTCTCGCACCTCCAACAGACTGATTAATAGCTGAAAAGAATAATTTATTATATTCACTATTCCCCCTGTAACGAAAACGTTCTCAAGCAACCCAAAAACTATGGAAAGCCAAGTGAATCCACAAGAATCACCCAAAAATTGATACAATACCCAATACTTACTTTTTTTGTAAGGAAACGTCCCTGAATTGCAAGTCTGTGTGTATTTATTCTTTCAATTGATTGCGATGAAATTTGCGCAGTAACATCACATATCATCTTCAGAAAAAAATGAATGCGATATGCCATCTCTCTTTTTCACAGATACTGAAGTTTCACTGTCTGAAGTTCCTGCGCAACTTAAAATTCAATAAAATTGCATCGCAATCAATTGGAAAAATAAATACAACGAGACTTGCAATTCAGGGACGTTTCCTTACGGAAAAAAAGTAAGTATTAGCTGAATCATGCCTTTTCGGTTAAACTTGGGGATTCACTTGGCTCTCCGTAGTTTTGGGGTGGCTTGAGAACTTTTTCATTATACTGGGAATGGTGAATATAATTATTTATTCTTTTCAGCTAATACTCACTCTGTTGGAGGTACGACAATTTTCTTCAGGAGGAATTCTCCAGAGTAGAGAACATTTATCGAAGTTTTTAGGTTACAGAAAAACAACTATTCTCGTTCGTTGCATTACCAGCTTCATTTGGTAAGAGTGTAAGTTTATTTATGGGGGGATATTTGCAAATTATATCTGGGGGACATTTCGTCAATTTTCCTGAGAATGTTCATTCACTTT